AGTAAGAGCAACAAGCGATATCCAAGCTTTCTTCAGGAAGTGGAAGAACTGTTGGTTAACCATGTGACCAGAAATAATCATAGACTCTTGCAAACTGTGTCTTAAGCCTTTGTCCCCTGTTGGTATAAACGAGGTACTATGCAACAACTGTGCTACATGTCAGCTGTTGCTTTTAAAAGTACTGTGTTAATATTGGAGAAGCATCTAACCAATTATCATAGGGGCTTCCAGGATCGAAGAGGAGAGTCAAATGGGCATTTGCAATTTGAAGGGCCTGTATGCAGACCATAAGCGAGGCTTAAAGCGAAGGAGTATCCTCCATGGTTATATCCGGATTAAGTCTGCTGGGAAATAAGGTGACGAGACTCTCTTCAAGTTGGGCAGTGAAAAGCAAATTGGAACGACCTTTATGATTGAAGGCAAGAATTTAAGCAGAACCGTTCTGGAAAAAGGAGAAAGGACTTTGTTTTGAGATGGCCAGTTCCTGATACAGCAAGATGGTGCCGCAGGGAAGAAGAAAGAGGAAAACAGCAATGGAAGAGAAAATGAGATTGTGCTATATCTACTGAGAGAGACTTATTGTTAATTTGCTTTTAATGGTGGAGGGAAAAATAATGGTTACATGAGAAGCCATTGTTCTCTGTAATTTGTGTCTAAGTTAAATAGCGATTCTCCTGGACTACTCTTCATATAGTCAGATTTGTTGGGATGTTTTCACAAGCTATGATGATGATTGATCACTCTCAATGTTAAAGAAAGCTTTTTACTATTGTTAAGCAAATTTTTTACAAGCTGTATGTGACCTCCAACCCTTGGGTTTTTAGTGGGTTTTCTTTTCTTTCTCCTATAGTGTGTAGATTCCCTCCCTGATTTCGTTGAAGTTTTTAGTAAATGCAAATAAAAAATCCTCTACGGGGGGCCATAAAAAATCACCCAGTGAGGCAGGCCAAGTGAAGAAAAAGGAACCCTCCCCCCCAAAGTCACTCAGTGAACACCCGTGACAGAGTGGGGACTCCAAGCTGGGTCTCCCAGATAGCCACTTTGCCACACTGGCTCTCCAAGGTCCCAGCATCTCTATACTTAACCCTGACCTCTGGCTCACGAACTAGCCTGTACACTGAGGTAAAAATACAGCCGTTTCCTCATACAATGCCTTACTGTATCTGTGTATTCTCCAATAATAAATAGGTACGGTTGCCAAGCTCCAGGGGGTACCTAGAGACCCCCTGGGATTATAACTGATTGCCAGGCAACAGAGATTGGTTCATCTGGAGAAAATGACCACTGTGGAAGGCGGACTCTATGGCATTATACTCCCGCCCCAAACCCCACCTACCTCAGGCTCCACCCCCAAAATTGCCAAGTATTTCCCAACCCAGAAATGGCAAAATACATGCATGTTAACATTTCAATAAGCTCTATTTTTCTGGCTTTGGTTGTCTGAATGAAAAGTCAGAAAACAAATACCCAGTAACCTCTCTTAAAAAAAAAAACCTGACAATGTACATCTAAGAAAAGAGAAAAGTGTAATTCTGCCTTGGGCACTGTACTGTTTGCTGAAGAACAAGATACAGAACTACAATTCCCACAGCCCTCCACTCAGGACAGGAAAACAGTTCAATTGCTATAAGCCTTCCTCCTGCAGACACACCATCTTGGAGATCACGTGCCAGTCGGTCTCCATGAACTCCCTCACAAACTCCCTTGGTATTCAACGGGTCGTGTCCTACCTGCATCGAAACCATAATCCATCTGCTCTTGCTTGATCACCATCCCTGCCGTGTACCGGGCGCTGCCGGCAGCCGCATTTGCCTGCTCATACATCGGGTCATGGAACTCTTGCTTGAAGCCCTGTGGGGGGTATGGCAGGCATGGGGCAGACAACGGGCGCTGGCATGCAGCCGGGGCTTCTGCTCCCAAGCCTTGCGAGGTGGAGAAGGATTGGCCCGTCTCAGTAGGCAGCTGGTACAAGGATCTACAGTGGATACAGAAGGACCACTCATAATTAAGAAATGCATTTTGACCTGGACTTCACCCAGAAGGTGGGGTGCAGAGCCCACAGCCTCCATTCGCGCCACCCAGTGATAAAATAAAGGGGCCCTAGAATGCCAGACATAGACAGTCTGTTCAAATTGCCTTCGTATTCCATTTTAGTAACTGGTTACTAGTGGGATTTTTCCTGTCATTTCAGACAGACCTGTTTTAGTAACCGGCTGCTAGCGGGATTCATTTACTTGTTCACACAAACCTGCTTGAATCGGGTCAGCAAAGAGTGGTTGAGCCACTTTTGAGGGATACTGCTTTTTTCCGTTTTCAACCCCTTCATTGGGCTTCTGAATCACTGCAGTGTGCTGTTTAAAATGTCCATAGCACTTCTTACAATGCCGCTTTTTTTTAACCATGATAATACAAACTACACATTTTGAACACTGAAAATGCTATGTGTTACTTGTTTACCCTCCTGCAGACCTGAACTCATACGGATATACTGAAGTGAACCCTCCCCAATCAACTTCCACGGGGCCCATCCAAGACTTTCAGCATCTGCAAATGGATGAGCTGGGAGATCCATGACAGTGGGCCCCTTGCAATGTGCCAGAACAGAGGATGCTGGGATATGTCCCGGTATCAGACTGGATACCATTTATAAGATGTTCTTGAAAACAGAACTGTTTATTCAGCAGTACTGGCCTTGGAAGTTCCTTTTTAAAATAAGAAATAAAGGTTTTTATAAGGAAATTTCATCACAGTGCTCAAGACAGAACACCACTAACTTCTGGAAAAAGATTCAGACTAACCTTTCTCCTTGCCACTTGTTTTCATGTCCGTTTCCTTCCCCCATAGGCACACAGAGGGGCAATAAAACATCACTTACTATGAAATTAAACAGAAATTCAGTGGCACTTAAAATGGCTATGGAAGCCTGCTGTTTAAAATGTCCATGGTGCTTTCTACAATGCCGGGTTTTTTTAACCATGATAATACAAAGTACACATTTTGAACACTGAAAATGCTACGTGTCACTTTTTTACCCTCCTGCAGACCTGAGCTCATATGGATATACTGAAGTGAACCCTCCCCAATCAACTTCCACGGGGCCCATCCAAGACTTTCAGCATCTGCAAATGGATGAGCTGGGAGATCCATGACAGTGGGCCCCTTGCAATGTGCCAGAACAGAGGATGCTGGGATATGTCCCGGTATCAGACTGGATACCATTTATAAGATGTTCTTGAAAACAGAACTGTTTATTCAGCAGTACTGGCCTTGGATAACACGCTTTCAATCCACTCTCAATGCACTTTGCAACTGGATTTTACTGTGTGAAATGGCAAAATCCACTTGCAAATGGTCGCTGAAGTGGATTGAAACTGCATTATTTAGCATGCATGACAGCACCCTATATATTTAGATTTAAAAGTTACTCTGCCATGGAAGCTTGGTGGGTGGCGTTGGGCCTCTCACACACTCATACCCTAACCTAACCTACCTCACAGGGTTGTTGTGAGCATAAAATGGAAGAGAGGAGAATGACAGAAATTGCTTTGTGTCCTTGCTGCAGAGAAAGTAGATAAAGTTACAAGCAACAGAAATGTGGGGGCAAGGAGGTGCTACCAGAAAATTGATGTTTCTAACTGGCCTTTTGGTACCATCTCCCCACTCCTACCTTTCTGTTGCTTGTAACTGTAAGTATAAATGTAATGGCTATGGAAGTCCACTCCAATGCATCTGATGAAGTGAGCTCTGATCCGTGAAAGGTCATGCTGAAATACATTTTGTTCCTCTTTAAGGTGCCCCTGGACTTCTGTTTTTATTTTGCTGCAACGGACTAAAATAGCTCTGGCCCTGGATTTGTTATCACTTGCAACAGCAAATTAGGCATGGTTACATCTCACCTTTCCCAGCTGTTTGCCAGAGTTCTACCCCGCACATATATCAGCTCTAATGCCTTTCAGTTTGGGGCTCCATTGGGTGGCTGGACTTACCACCCAAGGAGCACTTCCTCATTGGAGGGACAGGGAAGAGAGATGCAAATTTAAATTAACACACTGGTATCTACTCTGAGGCCCTGAAGAGGGCGATCTTACAAACAACCTATCTGCTCAGTGCAGTGGCTCACCTGTGTTCCATAAGGTACGTCCGGCCAGGTATAGCCTGGGCTGGGCCTTGGGAGCTCATGAAATTTGAGTCTTGCCTATAGAAACACACACTGGGTTTAGTATGATGTAAAGCTCAGCTGCATTCACGGGCTCTACTGACTTTACATAAGAAGAGCATTGTTGGATCAGAGCAGTAATCCAGCTCATACAGCATCGTGTTTCGTACACTGGCCAACCAGTTGCCCTGGAAGACCAACTACAATTCAGGGCATTCCCCTGAAGTTATTGAAACTGCATTATTTAGCATGCATGACAGCACCCTATATATTTAGATTTAAAAGTTACTCTGCCATGGAAGCTTGGTGGGTGGCGTTGGGCCTCTCACACACTCATACCCTAACCTAACCTACCTCACAGGGTTGTTGTGAGCATAAAATGGAAGAGAGGAGAATGACAGAAATTGCTTTGTGTCCTTGCTGCAGAGAAAGTAGATAAAGTTACAAGCAACAGAAATGTGGGGGCAAGGAGGTGCTACCAGAAAATTGATGTTTCTAACTGGCCTTTTGGTACCATCTCCCCACTCCTACCTTTCTGTTGCTTGTAACTGTAAGTATAAATGTAATGGCTATGGAAGTCCACTCCAATGCATCTGATGAAGTGAGCTCTGATCCGTGAAAGGTCATGCTGAAATACATTTTGTTCCTCTTTAAGGTGCCCCTGGACTTCTGTTTTTATTTTGCTGCAACTGACTAAAATAGCTTTGGCTTTGGATTTGTTATCACTTGCAACAGCAAATTAGGCATGGTTACATCTCACCTTTCCCAGCTGTTTGCCAGAGTTCTACCCCGCACATATATCAGCTCTAATGCCTTTCAGTTTGGGGCTCCATTGGGTGGCTGGACTTACCACCCAAGGAGCACTTCCTCATTGGAGGGACAGGGAAGAGAGATGCAAATTTAAATTAACACACTGGTATCTACTCTGAGGCCCTGAAGAGGGCGATCTTACAAACAACCTATCTGCTCAGTGCAGTGGCTCACCTGTGTTCCATAAGGTACGTCCGGCCAGGTATAGCCTGGGCTGGGCCTTGGGAGCTCATGAAATTTGAGTCTTGCCTATAGAAACACACACTGGGTTTAGTATGATGTAAAGCTCAGCTGCATTCACGGGCTCTACTGACTTTACATAAGAAGAGCATTGTTGGATCAGAGCAGTAATCCAGCTCATACAGCATCGTGTTTCGTACAATGGCCAACCAGTTGCCCTGGAAGAACAACTACAATTCCCAGAGGCTAAGGCATTCCCCTAAAGTTGCCTGCTAGCACTGGATTTCAGAGGTTTACCACCTCTCATTATGGAGGTTCCTTTTAGTCACTATGGATAGCAGCCCCTGATGGACTGCTCCTCTATGGATCTGCCTACTCCACTTGAAAAGTCACTAGGGTTGCCAGTCCCCTGTTGGCAGCGGG